GTTCTTTTGGTGGTTCAGGTTCTTTCGGTGGTTCCGGCTCTTTCGGTGGTTCTTTCGGTGGCTCGGGCTCTTTTGGTGGTTCAGGTTCTTTCGGTGGCTCGGGCTCTTTTGGTGGTTCGGGTTCTTTCGGTTCGGGTTCTTTTGGTTCGGGCTCTTTTGGTTCAGGCTCTTTCGGTGGTTCGGGTTCTTTTGGTGGTTCAGGTTCTTTCGGTGGTTCCGGCTCTTTCGGTGGTTCTTTCGGTGGCTCGGGCTCTTTTGGTTCAGGCTCTTTCGGTTCGGGTTCTTTTGGTTCGGGCTCTTTCGGTTCAGGTTCTTTTGGTTCGGGCTCTTTCGGTTCGGGTTCTTTTGGTTCAGGCTCTTTCGGTTGAGGCTCAGGATCTTTTGGTTCTTGTCGTTTTCGAAGAATGCTGATCGAATCCTTCAGTTCATATGTTGGAGAAGCATCATTAACGGCAATAAATACTGCTATAAGGATTATGATAAGTAAACAAAGATGCTTGCATTTGAGTTTAATATAAGACATCTTGAGTCAATTGAAAAATTAAAAAAATTAAGAATTATTTTTCGATCATTTCGAGAAAAAAAAATTTTGAAATCTTGTTATTGATTATTGTTTATTAAAACAATTTATACTTTATAAATTACCAAATTCGTCGTTATCCACGAAAATCATTTGTACAACTTAATTATCCCTTTTTTAACAGGTAATGAATCAAAATACTAATTAAGTAAAGCCATAGTCGTCATATAATTTATTTATAATTTCGTTGTATACTAAAAATAATGATAATAGAAATAGAAATTCTAATGGATATGTGGCGTGAATTAAATTAATATTATTTGATTACTCGATTATCATTTTTTTTTTTTAATGATAATCACAATCAGTTAGTTTAGTTCTTAATATATTTTAATAAAGAACACTTGTGAAAAAACTTTATTTCGTCGAAATTAAATGTATCACTGATAAGCCACATACTAGGATTTCCGTTTGATAGAATCAAAGTTTTTGATATTCGAATTTCGAAATTCAAATTAATTTACAAGATCAATTTTACTAAGTTTCTAACACTAAGGCAAAAAAAAAAATCACGTTTATCCAACATAACGTTCTCGCATCACTTCCGACGACTTCCCACTATATCAATATTTTCAACTTCAATTAACTTCTTCCCTTTATCTTAATCCAAATTCTGAAGTGAATTCTTGCGTATATGAATAAAAAATTGGAGACTCATTACCTAAGGAAGATCCCTTTTATAAGGTGAATATTTTTTAAAAGAACGTAAGTAAAAAGAAGAATTGTTATTCAAACCTTTCTTGATTCTTTTAAATAACACATTAACTTTTAGTTCGTTAATATTTGTGCTATTTAATCATCTTTGATTAACAAAACCTGGCATGACAAATTCTGGATACAATCTTTTTCGTATGAATTACTTAATTGGCCACTTCTAAGGTAGAGAGAGGGCCTAAAATCTACCGGTTAAGAATAGTAAATTGCGAGATTAAGATTTTTTTTTTTATATCGTAGAGTAGAAAAGAGTCCTATTTATTCTCCTAATCGAGATCTGTATTTTCGTTATACAGATTTTTTTTTTATGCTACTTTATTTTATTTTTGAATCAAATACTCATAAAGTCCCGACTAATGATCATCAAAACACTTGACAATCTTTATGGCAAGAATTGCTCGCAAATTTAAGATAATCAGTAATAGTATTCCAAAATACTAATATAATGTAAATCTACTCTTAATCCTACTCCTACTGCTATTCCTTGTAATATAATATCTAATAGATTACCTTTTTATATTTGTTAAAAATGAAAGATACAGTATATAGTATTACGCCCACATTCTATTTTAATCCACGTGAAAAACTCGATTTCCTTAAATGTATAAATTATATGATGTAATGCGTTCATTAAGCATTTTCCTTAATGCTTATTTTTTCACACTTCTTTTTAGATTTTTGTTTGTTTTTTTCTTCTGAAATCATGGCATCTAACTTACAGGTCAGGTTTAAATTTTTATTTATTCGTACTTTATTTTTCTCCAAAAAATGATAAAGATTCTTTCACTTAAAAAAATCAAGTTAAACTTTTTTTTTCTTCCAAAATTTCATAAGAAAAGAAATCTTTTTTCCTATCAAATCTCACAAACAATCTGATCTTTTTTTTCATAAATAAAAAATGAAAGAATTTCTTTTCAAATTTTCAAAGAAAAAAAACTTTTTTTCATAAATAAACAAAGGGTATATAGTAAACCTATATAGTACAGTTAGCAATGTATGTATAATATGATTTTTTTCATATATTTACAGTATTAGAAATCATACAAGTATGGACTATTTGTTATGAATAAACCATACATGTATAGTTTTTAAAGTATACATATCATATATATATTTAAGAAAAATCATACAATACATAAGTTACTAATTATACTATATAGATTTATATAATACCCACAAATAAATCAAGTTAAAAAAATCTTTTTTGAATTTTACAAATAAAAAAATAAAATTTTAATTTAAGATTCTATAAACAATTTATCTTTTTCATTTAAATCTCATAAGAAAAATTCTCCTTTCAAATTTTATAAAAAAACTTTTCTTCTAAATTTTCTTGAATTAATAATTCAAATTTTCTAAAAAAAATTAAATCTAAAAAAAATCTTTTTATATAAAATCCTCTATCATTTTTTTTTTTTTAATTCTTTTTTTTTTTTAAAAAAAAAATTATAACTAGTTAACCTTATTTTCTTAACTTCTTTTTTAAAAAAAAATATTAATATTATACTGGTAAAATTAATATTATAACCTATATTCATATTATAATAAAAAAAAATAGCATTAGAATATACAATTAAAAAAATGAATAAAGTCACATGTTTAAATTGATGAAGATCTAATTTACTTAAAAATAAAAGCATTTATCCTATCAATCAAAGTATCAAAACATATATAAAAATTTTGAATTATCTATTTAAGAGAAAAATTTATTACCTAAGCTGATATATTATATGCTATAATTTCTTTCTTTTAAAAAAAATAATTAACTTAAATAAAAAATATATTATATTTTTTAATTGTTAAGGTTAATATAATTTTGATAAAATTTATTATTGACTTAGACTTTAAGATTATATCAGTAAAATATAGTAGGTTTAAGCTTAATTAGTTAATTTTCAAAATAATCATCATATATAAATTCATATAAAAAGATAATCAACTTAACTTTAAATAAATTCACAATTATAGATAATATTATTATGAAATATTAATAGAATATTAATGAAATATAAATAGGATAGATAAAACATTTAGGATATAGATAGAATAAATAAGATATTTGGAACATAATATAAGACAGGTTATGGCATATAGCTAGAATAGCAAATCTCTAAAATATTAAAATGTACATTATTAATTACAAAATAAATTCGTAAAGGTTGTGATAAAAAAATTTTTTAAGTATACCTTCTATTTAGAAACTATTAAAGTAATTTGATAAAAAGTAAAATAATTCAAAACTTAGCTAATAAAATTTCTTTGCAATATATTATTTTATATATATATATATAGAAAGAGAAAAAAAAGAGATTAAGATTTAGATTATATTTTAAAATATACAGTCATCCCTCTCTATAGTCACCTCCTATATAATCACATTATATAAATCCCTCATTATAAGCACACATTTTGTAAGAATCATTATCTATTAATGTTATATAAAAAAACTTCTTTATAATCACAGCATTTTTATAATCACACCATTTCAGAACTAACTAGGGTTGTTAAAGTCTGAGTCCTAGACCATCAAACCCTGGTCCTATATAAGAGTCTTATTAGGACTGGATCCTAAATTTGAGACTTGGTCCTGAATCAGTTCAAAAAATAAAAATTATATTTTTGATTAATATTCAATTACAGAATTATTTAAATGACTGAATCAATAAAAATTTGACAAAATTTTTATATATTATATGATGAAATTTGTTACAAAAAAATAATATCATATTAAATCAACTTAATCTTAATTAGTTATAGTGTGAATTTTTGATGTAAGTGATATGATAATCTCATAAAAGATTATTTAAAAACCTGTTATATTTATTAAAATTTTATTAAGAAAAAAAAAATGATTTTTATTTAAATAAATAGTTTTTAATACAAGTAAATTTATATAATCCCTCTCACCAAATATTTGAGAAAATGATATAGTTTTTATTTTTAATTTGCATCATAAAAGAAGAAAACTGTTCGTTTATCATATTTCATTTGTTTCAATTAAATCTGAATTATATAATTGTCAAACTTAATAGTTTCTCTTAACTAATCAATATATATCTAAAAGAACAAAAAAAGTTATTTAACATCACTAATGATTCTAATCCAAATATCTGGCTAATTATAATTGATTGTCAATATATAGTATATTATATGCAAAAACCTTTATGCGAAAACTTTATGTGAATTTTCATTTTCATCAAAAATGACCGAAATAGATAGTTCTTACCTTTTAGATTCTAATCATGATAATGAAGAGAATTTTGAATATTATAATAATGATTATCATGATGATGAAATAAATTTTGATAATCTTGATCTAGATGAACCTCTTGAAGAGGAAAGAGATACATCGACAACTCTAACTTTTCATAATAAAAGAACATCTAAAGTATGGCAGTTTTTTAATGAAAGAACATCAGAACATCCAGAGTTACCTGTGTATAAAAAGTGGTAAGTTTAGTGCAGAAACAGGAATATCAAGTCTTAAACGTCATATGTTAAAACAACATAATATTAATATTTCATAAGTAATAACTCATCAAACTAAACTTCCTTTTCCTCATGTTGATCTATGACCAGCTAGAGAAAAATAAGAACGTAATGATGCATTAGTAACTTGGATAATTACTGATCAGCAATCTTTTCATGTTGTAGAAAGTAAGGAATTTATTATAGCTCTTAATAAGCTTGATTCACATTATATTATTCTAAATCATTATTAAGTAAAGAATATGTTTATATCACATTTTGAAGTATGTCGTTCTAGAATTATTAATGATATTAAATGCATTCCTGATAAAGTTTCATTAATCTCAGATATATGAACATTAACTTTAATAATAGAAGCATTTTTGGGATTATCAATTTATTATGTAAATGATAAATGGATTTTGTGTTATTTTTTACTAGATATAGTACTATTTAAAATAAGACATATGGGGTTAATATAATTGAACATATTATGACAGTACTTAATGGATTTGAATTAACAAACAAGACTCTTACACTTATAACTGATAATGAGTCTGCTATAGTTATATGTGATTAATGCTCTGAACAGTTCAGTTCAGTCCAGATTATAAGCCAATCTGAAACCAAACTGAAAATTTCAGTTCAGTTCAGTTCAGATTATAAATCTTAAAAATGCCAATCCAAAACCAAACCGAACCGTAAACTGGTAAAAATCCAAACCGAACCGAAAATTTCAGATTAATCTGAAATTTCGGATCGTTCCAATTGAACGATTCTTTTATCGTTCGTTTGGAATGATAATTTGATCATTCTAATCGAACAATTTTCTTATCGTTCGTTTGAAATGATAATTTGATTGTTCTAATTGAATGATTCTTTTATCGTTCATTTGGAACGATAATTTGATCGTTCCAATCGAACGATTCTTTTATCATTCATTTGGAACGATAATTTAATCGTTTCAATCGAAC